TCTGTTGCGCCAAGGGGCTATAAGGGGCATCGTGCGAGGAGCTGGCACAGCCTCCTCCTGACACCTCAGGTGACCAGTCGGCAGTCGTGACCACAGATCCCTGGAGATGGAGACCCTGTTCCTGACCGTTGTGCTGGGTCTGGTCGCTGCCCTGCAGGCCCAGGACCCCCTGTCCTTCACCTCGGAGGAGCAGGATGTGAGGCTGGGCCGGCGGGTGGGTGTAGGAGAAAGGCCGTGGGGCCTGTTTTAGGAGACACCATTTAAGGTTTGGGTTCCGACCCTGCGCTCCTGGTGTGGAGTGGTCAGAGGACAGACAGGGGATTCTGTTATTCTGCCAGCAGACACGGCCCCTCTGGTGGCACAGGGCGGGAGCAGGGCAGCAGGTTTGGCTCAGGGGTCCTACTGCACTGACACCCAGAGCCAAAGGCCTTGCAGGGCAGGGTCCTCTGGAGTGAGGGCGCACCCGGTACCGGGCCCAGTCCCAGCAGAAAGTGGTTCCGTGGGGTGGCAGACATCTTCTGTCTCCATTGGGGGCCTGGGGTCACGAGTTCTGGGCTCGCTCTAACTGAGCACAGAGGTGCGGATGTGCGGGAACCCCGCCTGCCTTTGGGGGCTGCAGCCGGGGCCCCAGGGTGTGTGGTCACGGCTGCAGCCCATGTGCAGGGGACATAGAGGAGAGTCTGGGCTGGGTCTGAGGAGGACGCACGCCTCAGCCTGTTCCAGCTCACAGGGACCTGGTACGTGAAGGCCATAGTGACTGACTGGGAAGTGCCAGAGGGGAAGAGGCCCAGCAAGATGTCACCTGTGACAGTGACAGCCCTGGAAGGTGGGGACTTGGAGGCCACATTCACCGTCATGTGAGTGTCACCCCCTACTGGCCCCTCAAGTCCTCTTATCTCCCCCTCCCCCATCTAAGTTTTGGGTGTTGGTGTAAAAGGACCCCCTGACTTTGTGCAGAATCGTTCCCAGGTGGCATCCTAGAGCTCAGCTGGGGGGCACATTATCGGGCTCATGGGTTCAGGGCCGACGTACCAGGTGAGCTGAGGCCGGATCAGGAGTGTCTCAGAGTCACTGCCACATGACTCCTATTTTCCAGGAAGGAGGGTCAGTGCCACCAGAAGAAAGTCCTGATGCAGAAAACCGAGGAGCCGGGCAAATACAGCACCTGTGAGTCCTGGGCGGCGGTCCCCAGCCCACCTGCAGGGCAGGGCATCTCCTGCACAGTCTTTCTGCCTAAGGGTCCCGGCCTCATCCA